ACACTTGACCCGTAATATAAAACACACAACAAGAACACAAAGTATGACCTAGACCGGGTAAATCTCCTCAGTCCGAATTATATTTCTTACTCTGTCTCAAGAGTGTACTATTTTTAGTGAGAGAAAGAATGGATCCCCTCCTCTATCCAATATCATCATATTTATAGAGGAGGATTTGTGACCTTCCCCTGTTCATCCATGGACAAAATAGGAAGCCCGTGGGAAGGTCACTGTACATAATCAATCTACTATTCAATCAATGAATTTAGCAACTACAAGCCAAGACATGTACTGTTCAATCAAAGACTAAAATGGATATTCTCAATCCAATCAACCCTGCAAAATGACAAACATCCCTTTCACTGTGTGCCTCGTGATGGATGAGCGGCGGGGTGTCCCCTTGACCTCTGACGTGATTCACCATGCCTAAGAGACTGGACCAATGTTAGCCAAGTAAAGTGATATGACCGGTCACCTTCTCTGAAAGGTTACCCGGTCATTTCTTGCGCTCAACCCGTCTCTTTGGTCTTCTAGAATGTCCTTCGTAGAATAAGGTGATATTTTCGTTATCGCCCAAAATGTGACCGGTCACTTTTTTAGTGGAAGTGACCGGTCAACTTTTGACCCGTCCAAATCGAAGAGTTAACCTCATTTGGTGATTGATAAAAGTGACCGGTCATACTTTGACCTGTCCCTTTCGGTTGTTCGGGTCGGGTATAGGGATATATCCATCAATAGTAATTGGGGCGGAGCGGATTTCGAATCATTATAAATGCTCTTATATCTTTGTTGAGAAGTGAGAACAATTCTTAAAAAGCAATTGAAGGTTAAAAGCACCTCTAAAAGATATTTGTCAAAGAAATCTTTTAACAAAAAAATTTTGACCATAAAATATGGACGTATAACCACAAATTATATGGAGTATTTTTTTTCTTTGGAAAATTCTATAGTCTTTTGGTTTATGTTTATTTTATGTATCTTAAGAGTCACAATTACAAAACTCTATTTTCTTTATATACATATTTTTATTGATTATTGATAAAATGATATATTCATACTATCTATTGTTTTGTAGAATATTGAATATAATTTTTAAATATATAAATTTTATTTGTAAAGTTTACATGGATACTTAAATAAATTAAATACATAATAAGTTGGACTAAGTACCTAGAGGTTCATGTATTATGGAAAAGTGTTCAAATTAGGTTATGTACTCAAAATTGAACTAATTTAGTCTTTGTACTATTTTTTTCAATCAAATTTTTCTTATTTATTATCCCAAATTTTTAGAGATGACGTCTAATTTTATAATAGATGACGTAGAAATTTTTTAACATAGTGATTCATACATTTAATATAATTTTTCAATTTGTTTTGATTTTATCCAGGAACTTTTATTTAATTTATAAATTTTTTATTTTTCAATATTCTTTTTAAATAGAATTAAAGAACTCTTTATTTTGGTACCAAACATATTCTAAAGTGAAAATAATGGCACAGAAAAGGCCGGGCGCAACGTGGTATTTGGACCAGATAAGTGGAGCCGAAGACTTTTATCCCGAGCAACCATTTTCTCTCTTCCCCATCATCATCATCCACTTCCCCCAGTAACGTACGGACAGACAGTGATTTCTATAGTTCACATTCTTCCCGCTGAATCTTATTCATTCCCCCATAGCGATTCTTTGGGTCTCTGGAACTCATAAAGACACTCTCATCTGCAGCTGCTGATAGATAGATAGATAGATAGATAGATCAACGACTCCCAAATCCCAATACTCTTTTTATTTTCTTCAAAGGTTTGATTTCTCCTCTTTCAATCTGAGATCTCACTTGACTTGGAATTTCCCCTTTTTTCTTGCATCCAATCGGCTTAAAATGGCAATCAGACTGTGAAATTGGAGTAAAAACTGGATTTTTACTGCTGGGTTCTGTGTTTTGAATCTTGAGTCAGATCTGGAATTTTCTTTTTGATGAATTGTAGGTACACAACAGTACAGGAAGAGGTAGAAGAAGAAGATGTCTTTCACTGGGACTCAACAGAAATGCAAAGCTTGTGAGAAGACAGTGTACCCTGTGGAGCTTTTGTCAGCTGATGGGGTTAGCTATCATAAGTCTTGCTTCAGATGTACCCATTGCAAGGGCACTCTTAAGGTACCCTGTTTCTTTAACTTCCTAAAAAGTTAAAATTTTTAATGATAAAACTAAGCTTATATAGTTAAATAGTTATATGAGTGTCAAGAACCTAGTCAACTAGAAGCTCAAGTTTGGTTCTACACTACTAGTTCCAAGTCAACCATAGGCTATGATACCATGTAAGGGACCAAGTAAACCGCAACCTCAAGCTTGTGTTTGTAGGCTCAAGAAAGTTTTTATAATCTAACAAGGAGTTTGAATGATCGAAGATCATTTATTCATATCAAGGTGTTCAATCATATTCATGTTCAACACTCGTCAACAAGAGAATGCAATCTCCTCTGTTACACGGCATTTCACTAATTGCCCAACGTTCTATGGTTATAGTGTAGAATCAGTCCTATTTTATGACGAAGAGTGTCTACATCGACTAGATACATAATGAAAAACTAACCTATGTTTACAAAATTTTGGGTTTTTCGTATTAGTTGATCTGAGTGAATCCCAAAGTTTTTACTGCTATTGCGTTGGACCCATAACCATGATATGAGACACTTCAATACTTGTGAATGAATAGCCAATATGTAATAGTCATTGGTTGGCATTTTAATCCGGTTGCTTGTGATGCATTGATAGCTGAGTAATTACTCATCAATGGAAGGTGTTCTTTACTGTAAGCCTCATTTCGAGCAGCTCTTCAAGGAATCAGGGAATTTCAACAAGAACTTTCACTCACGTAAGCCTTTATATCCCTTTTGTGATTATGTATATGAGACTTCAATCCAAAATCAATCTGCAATGGGAAGAGTAACTTGTATTCTTATATATTATTAGTCTTTTTTTTTACCCTGGGTTTACAATGTGGGAGAACATCCTCAACAAACAAATTCCATTTAAATGGTTCTTCTTTGGTGCTTGATGATTTTGTCTGCTTTTACAACTTTCAGCTGCTGCAAAGTCTGCGGAAAAGTTGACTCCTGAGCTGGTAAATGATCTTGAAAACTACTCCAGAGCTAACACATTGCCTGTTTTGTGGCATGTTTTGTTATTGGTCCTTTGAATATTTATACTGTATCTGTTTTTTTCTTGGGCACTCAGACAAGGTCCCCAAGCAAAGCTGCCGGAATGTTCTCTGGGACTCAAGAAAAATGTGCTACTTGTGGGAAGACGGCTTACCCCCTGGAGAAGGTAAATATAAATGTTCTCAAACTTTTACACTTTCATGGTAATTCTCAAAAATTCATGGATTGTTTTGTGTGCTACTTCATAGCTTTACATCATCAAACCAAACCAAACGAACTGTTCAAAATTGTCTGTTTTGAACTTTTGGTTGAATTGGTTGCTTGATATAAACATATGGAAATATCTTGTTTGTGTGACAAATTAAAGAAGATTTGCCATCTTTTTAAGCTCTCTCATTACATGAGCTTGTGATTAAAACTTCAGGTGATGGTTGAAAACCAGTCCTACCACAAGTCGTGCTTCAAATGCTCTCACGGCGGGTGCTCTTTAACCCCATCAAACTACGCGGCATTGGATGGAATCTTGTATTGCAAGCCTCACTTCTCCCAACTGTTCAAGGAGAAAGGCAGTTACAGCCACTTGATCAAGTCGGCTTCTATGAAACGCCCTACCACTCCTATTCCAGATGTTTAAAGAATCATTGCCTCCCATTCATCCGATTCATCTCTTCTCACTACTACGGATATCCATTTGATTTGATCTATCTGTGTTCATTGTTTGCGATTGATTCTCATTCTCAGAGTGTTTCATGTGTATGGGGGCTTTTGTTCTTGATTATGTATGTTCAATTCTCTTAATGTTGTCACATTTGTCCCTCCCAAATGTTTGGGGATGTACATTGCTGCAATGAGTTTGAATGCTGATATTACTCCAAACGGTTCTTTTGTCATTGAGTTGCTTTTCATATTATTTATTTATATATAATTATAGATATTAACAGTCAAATTTATGTTATGGAGAATGCAATATTCAAACAATTATGAAAGTAATAAAATAAATGACATTTTAGGGTCACAATTACGAATAAATACCATCAAAATCTCCTTCTATATATTGGATTAACTGGATTTACCATCCAATAATTTTTAATTTACAACTTCAACTGAGCAAACAATTCATATCGGGAGCAAAAAAAGATGAAACTCATCATAAAACCCCAATAAATTGTGTTATAATTTGATGAACTAAGAGTGCAACCTGGGCAAGGATTTCATACTAAGGATGATGATGATGATCTTCCATTGTCTTTACCGCCAGGAATCAAACCAGAACGTTGAAGTCTTTCTTTGACATCTGAGCTGCGTCCTCTCCGTCTGACGCAAACAATTTTGATCTCTCGACGACAGAGAGGGCAAGAAGTTTTTACCTTGAGCCAGGAGGAGATGCAGGCATGGTGAAAATGGTACCCAACTTGATGACTGCATCCCCTTATCTCATCAATCTTGTTCTTCCCAATCCTCTTGGCGGCCATTTCCTCCAAGCAAATGACACAGTAACGCCGGTAATTCTCCATCCTCTTCCTCTTCAGTGCGGACTCGATCGCCGTCCGCACGCCCTCGTGCGGCACAAACGCCATCTTCGCCCGCGAAATCGCCTCTTTGTGGGCCCCGCGTGCCCTCTTCGTCCACCCTGCGTCCGCGATTATCTGGACGGAGAGGATCTTCACTCTGATCATGACCCGGATGCAGAGGGACAATTGCTGGCGCGCCTTCTCGACCACCTCCCGGGTGATGGAGAGCATGGTACGGCAGTCGAGGGCGTGGTTCCACTTCATCAGGACGCCATGGATCATGAGATAACGGCCCTCGTTGTTCAGGTGGCGGCACACGGCGTTGATCGATTCCTGCTTCATCGGGAGTCCCTTGTCGGCGTCGATGTCGTATTGGGAGGTGCACAGGGTGAAATAGACACCCACGCCGTTGTGCGGCGGCGGCTCTGCGGCGGCGCTGGCCCCAAAGGGCCGCACGAAGTAGGTTGTGATGAACTCGTTCTCCATTTAGAATCCAAGGATTGGGATAAAATCGGGCGGATAATTATACTCCGTTAGATCATGAGACGAATTCCTAATCCTAATCCTAATCCTACTAGGAGTTAGGACTAGGGTTACCTGATTCGGCTCCGTGTAACGGGTCTCTCCGCTTTAATTTGGGTTTTTTACTCTAGTTTTTGTTTTTCTCATTTGAAGTGCAAAAATTTAAATACCTCCTCGGTGCTAAAAAATTTTCTTAGTTACTATTAATACTGTTAAATTTTATTTATTTTCATTAACTATTTATTTTTTGAAATTTTGTTTGGAAAATGAACAAAATAAATATTTTCTTACTATTAAAATAAATATCTACTCTTTTAATAAAAAAATTTGAAAAAAAAATGTGAAAATGTACACAAAAATGGTATGCACCATAAAATATCTCGTTCTGTTAAGCTTTTGAAATAATTTTGAATATATAAATTTTATTGTTGTGTCAATTATAATCAAATACTAGGTAAATTAAATTTAAAATAAGTTCAGTCAAATCTCGTAAACTTAAATGAGAAGAAAGTTTTAAGATGAGGGAAATACTCTCCTAATTAAAACTGTTCATTTAGGTTTATGAGATTTGATTGAAACTATTTTCAATTTAATTTATATGAAAATTGGGGTAAAATTAAAAAAAACTATCTATATCAAAAGTTCTACAAAAAAGGTAAAGTGGCTACATAATATGATTAACAAAGAAAAACCAAATAAGTAAATAAAGTTTAAGGGACAATTTAATTTATGACGGATGAAATAATAAATTACATTAAAATTATATTGCATACTATGGAGTATGTTAAAATAAAATTATTTGGGGTATTATTTTTTCCTGTAAAATCTAATATAATATTTATTTTATTAATGATCAAATTTTAATTAATCTGTCCAAAAAATCAAACTTAACAAACTACCCCGGAGTATGATGCACAATAAATGAACACTCTGTTCTTTTTACTTGAAAAAATAGAACTTGATGTTAGAAGAAATTAGAAAGGATTAAAGAGGTTGCGGGAAGGAATTATAAAAAGGCAGAACTCTCTATATGGGAGTTAGAAAATGAAAGTAGCAAAATAGGATTCATAAAATAGAAGTTCACACTGTCATTGTTACACTGACGCACTATCACCGCCACACTGTAATCTCTTGCCGCCAGCCACCAGAGTGTCGCTACGGATAGTCGACGAATCGACGACTAATTGGTCACACTGATATATTACATTGTCATCATGTTTTCATGACACCGCCAACGTTTATTCTTGCATCACACTGACATTATATACTCCTATTTTGGTATAAAAGACTTAGGACTCTTATTTTGGTATTTTCATACTCCGTATTTTTTTACTCTTATCTAGGGAGATTTCTTTTATAAAATACTTGAAGAAGTTGGAAAACTGGAATGAAATGGAAAAAAATGGAAGGAGTTGGAAGAAACCAGAAAGAGTTAGAAGTTTTTTGAAAGTTTTTAAAAAATTAAAAAAAAGTTAAAATAGTTATTTTATTTTTTAAATTTAAAATTTTATTAAAAAATGTATACTCTACTTTTTAAATTATTTTCATATGATTAAGTAGTGAAATAGAGATTTTTTATGCAACATGTGTAGTTTTTTTAAAACATCCGACATATGCACAATTAAAAAATAAATAATATTAATGTTACACAATTATATCTTCCCTTATTAAATTGATGTATGAACACTTTTTAAACATACTCCCTCCGTCCCCAATTTGATTACAAATTGCGGGTTACGGAGTAAAATTCTCTACTTTTTGAAATCATTTTATTTACAAATTTGTATATCAATAAGATATAAAAATTACATATTAAAAAACTACGTCAAAATTTCTACAAAACAAGAGGTGTCAAGAATATTTTATTTTATCAAATACTTAATGAAATCGCGTAAACAAACAAAAGTTATCGAGAGGAGAGAGAAAAAAAAATTGTAATCCATTTAGGGACAGAGGGAGTATATGCTTAGAACATGCACAATATAAAAAGTATAAGTGCATGCACATTTTAAAGGTATGTAGTTGTAATCAATTAGAGAAAAAATGCACAATTATTTTGGTTAAAATTTTAAAATGTTGAGAAGAACACATTTCAAAGAAACATAGTTAACGAAAATTTTAAAATCACAAAGGAAATTATAAATTAATTAATTTTGGATATTTTTATAATTCACATGACTATAATGGTAACTGAAATTTATATACATGACATGATTTGTTAATAAATAAAATCGATTTTTTTTATTGAGATAATAGTAATAACAATAATAAGCCTAAATATTTTTTTAAAGTTATTTTTTAACGAAATTAGAAGAAACTAGAAGAATTAGAAAAACTGGAAGAAGTTAGAAGAAAGTGGAAGGAGTTGGAGGAAACTGGAGAAGTTAGAAAAAATTGAAAAGTAGTGTTGAACAAAAATTAGAAAGAAGTGAAAGAAACTAAAAGAAGTTAAAAAAATATTAGAAGTAAAGAGTTAACACTCAAAAAAACAAGATCGAAGGTAAGTTTTAATTCCGTTAAAATATCATAAAATCCTTTACTTTCTAAAAATGTACAGAAAATACTTTGTAAATTTTAAAAAGTATAAGGACCTTTAAGATGCTTTGACCCTTCAACTTTTATTTTTTTCTATTTTTCTATTTTTTAATGTTTTTAAATCTCATTTCAATTTCTCCCAACTATAAATTAAAAATTATTTATAAGTACTACATGTAATCATTGATATTATTACAATTATAATTATTGTTTAATAATAGTAATAATAATAATAATAGTCTCGTAACACAACGACACCACTGAAGGGCAGCGTGGTGCTCCCACGTTCACAATGATATGTGTATTTTTAACACTGATAAGAATGGTTCATTTATGGTCGACTCTTGTGTATGCAATCTTCATTTACTTCGATTCAGTATGAAGACAGAGATTAATCGGGGTGAATTTTGTAATGAAGTCTACATTATTCATCCCCATCCTGTCTTCCAATCTGTTGCGGGAATTGCTACTCATGATCTGCTGATACCATATTTTTCAGAACCGGTGGTCTAAACATATTTAAAAATTATATAAATAAATATATATAAATATAAATATAAATATAAATATAAATATAAATATAAATATAAATATATATACACACACACACATATATATAAACCCATACATAATTACATATAGACACACACAATTTCTCATTTATAAATATCTAAAGAAAGTAATTTATAACATTTGACTAAAATTATATTAATATACTTGAGTTTTTTTACTAAGTTAAAAAATAAAATTTACATATTAAAAAAAGATTATTAAAAAAATTTTTATAAATAAAGAGTTGATTTTATTTTTTTTCAAATAAGTTGTTTAATATTAAAAAAAACTCAAATGAAATCTTTGCATTATATGCATTTTGAAATAATATCAATAATATCAATGATTTTGTGTTTGACTCATAGCTATATAATATTATATTTTTAAAATTAAAAATGAATTTTTATACAATCTTTTTTTTAAATTATGAAATATTATAAAAGATTAAGTAAATTTGTAACAAAAAACAATCTTGCCTGGATGGTTAGGAACTCAGTCAAATGTCTATGAGGTCTTCGGTTCAAACCCCCATGGTTGTATGTTTTGGAAAAAATCACAAAAAAAAATGGTCCTCGGCCGGTTCACACCGGTTTGCACCGGTTCACACTGGTTCACGCCGGTTCGCAGCATCTTACGGTCTAAAGGGCCGGACCGGACCGGTTGGACCACCGGTTTGCCAGTTCACTATCCGAACCGGCCGGTCCGGTTTTTAAAACTATGGCTGATACAGAAGATGAATTGTATTATTTAATTAGTTATTTATTAATTACTAGTATTATATAAGCACACATGATTAGGTTTTAGAATGGGCCAAAGCCCATTAGGTTAATTAGGATTTCTCGTATCGCTATATATTGTACTCTCATATTATTATTATTCAATCAATAAAGAAATATCAAAAACCCTAATTTCCTTCTCTATTTTCTTGGAGTCCGGAAACGCTCGAAGTTTTCCTTCTCTCTTTGCCTCTCCTTTCTTGGAGCTTGAAGAACGCTCGAAGTTCTTCCCTATCCGATACGATATTCGTATCAATTGATCGATAATTCAGAGCGATTGATCCGATCTGGAAGAAAAAAATGAGGTTGCTTTTGTTTTTTGTGGTTTTTTTTTTGGCGAGTTCAAGCAATGAGAACACCAACTGATACAAATATCGTATCAGATAGGGAAGAACTTCGAGCGTTCTTCAAGCTCCAAGAAGAAGAGGTAGAGAAAGATGAAAAACTTCAAGCGTTTCCAAGCTCCAAGAGAATAGAGAAAAAGATTAGGGTTTTGATATTTCTTTATTGATTGAATAATAATAATATGAGATTACAATATATAGAGATACGAGAAACCCTAATTAACCTAATGGGCTTGGGTCCCATACTAAAACCTAATCATGAGTACCTATATAACACTACTAATTAATAAATACTAACTAAATAATATAATTCATCTTCTATATCATTTGCAAGTTATCCTTCTTCATCAGCGACTTGGTCATCTGTCTCCACAAATTTTTTTGTTTTTCAATTTCAATAGAAATAGTTCGTTAGTCAAAAAGTTACGAAGTTTTTTGGTGCTATTTTATTAAATTTAATTATTGTGATTTATGTAGACTTCATTTAGCATGTGTATCTATAGGTGCTCATTATTTTTTTTACTATTGTTGGCGATCATTCTCGTATCGTTTGACTGTATGCAATTAAAGAAAAAAATTTAGGTCACATCTTGTTTGAAAATTTTATTTCATATGATCAAAACACAATTGGATAAGATCATAAAAGTGGTTCGTTCTAAGAATGGAAAAAAATTTCTTTATTCACTCATTTTGTCAATATTATCATGAGATGGTGTTTATTTAAACTTCCTATGTGGATACCTTAACCTGCGTAATCTGAACCAATGAGTTAGCAAATCAGGTTGCTATTAAATTGGAATTCACATGTATAATATTTTAAAACATTTAAAAATAAAA